AACGGCCTTTAGAAACTTGTGTAAGGAATCTTTCAGAGTTATGTATACCACATATGTCAGACCAATCCTGGAGTATGCGCCTTCAGCATGGAGTCCATATGAAGTCATGCATAAGACTAAACTGGAAAGGTTCAAACGTTTGCCACCAATTTAGTACCCGAACTAAGGGGTATGAGCTACGAGGAGAGATTACGGGAGATTACGAAGATTCTCAGAGGAATTGATAGGGTAGATAAAGACAGACTATTTACCACAAGGGGCACACGCACTAGGGGACACAGGTGGAAATTGAGTGCCTAAATGAGCCATAGAAACGTTAGAAAGATTTTTTAAGTATCAGAATATTAGACGAATGGAATGCATTAGGCAGTGATGTGGTGGAGGCTGACTCCATACACAGCTTTAAGTGTAGATATGATAGAGCCCAATAGGCTCAGAAATCTGTACACCAGTTGATTGACAGTCGTGAGGCGGGACCAAAGAGCCAGAGCTCAACCCCGCAAGCACAATTAGGTGAGTACACACACACACACGCACACACACACACACACACACACACACACACACACACACACACACACACACACACACACAAATTTGTCGAACAAATGGTTGTTAGAGTTTAATCCAACCAAATGTAATGTAATGAAGATAAGTGTAGGGAGCAGGAGGCCAGATACAAGGTATCATCTGGGAGAGGAAATTCTTCAGGAGTCAGAGAAGGAAAAAGACTAGGGGGTTGATATCACGCCAGACCTGTCTCCTGCAGCACATATCAAGCGGATAACATCAGCGGCATATGCCAGGCTGGCCAACATACGAACGGCATTCAGAAACTTGTGTAAAGAATCATTCAGAACTTTGTATACCACATATGTCAGGCCAATCCTGGAGTATGCAGCCCCAGCATGGAGTCCATATCTAGTCAAGGATAAGACTAAACTGGAAAAGGTTCAATGGTTTGCCACCAGACTAGTACCCGAGCTGAGAGGTATGAGCTACGAGGAGAGACTACGGGAATTAAACCTCACTTCGCTGGAAGACAGAAGAGTTAGGGGGGACATGATCACCACATTCAAGATTCTGAAGGGAATTGATAGGGTAGATAAAGACAGTCTATTTAATACAAGGGGAACACGTACAAGGGGACACAGGTGGAAACTGAGTGCCCAAATGAGCCACAGAGATATTAGAAAGAACTTTTTTAGTGTCAGAGTGGTTGACAAATGGAATGCATTAGGAAGTGATGTGGTGGAGGCTGACTCCATACACAGTTTCAAGTGTAGATATAATAGAGCCCGATAGGTTCAGGAATCTGTACACCTGTTGATTGACGGTTGAGAGGCGGGACCAAAGAGCCAGAGCTCAACCCCCGCAAACACAACTAGGTGAGTACACACACACACATACACACACACACACGAGTACACAGGTCTCGCGAGGGACGAGGGGCCTCGCGGCTGAGTGGACAGCGCTCGGGGGTCGTTGTCCTAAGGGGTCGGGTTCCATCTCCGGTGGACGCACAAACAAATTGGAGGAGTTTCTTTCACCCTGACGCCCCTGTTCACCTAACAGTAAATAGGTGCCTGGGAGTTGTATAGACAACTGCTACTGGCTGCTTCCTAAGAATGTGCTGTGTTAGAGAGAAATATATGTAGAAATATTATGAGTCAACATGATCCAAGTGTCGACATGATCCTAGTGTCGACATGATCCAAGTGTCGACATGATCCTAGTGTCAATATGATCCAAGTGTCGACATGATCCTAGTGTCGACATGATCCAAGTGTCGACATGATCCAAGTGTCGACATGATCCAAGTGTCGACATGATCCTAGTGTCGACATAATCCAAGTGTCGACATGATCCAAGTGTCGACATGATTCAAGTGTCGACATGATCCAAGTGTCGACATGATCCAAGTGTCGACTTGATCCTAGTGACGACTTGATCCAAGTGTCGACATGATCCAAGTGTCGACATGATCCAAGTGTCGACATGATCCAAGTGTCGACATGATCCTAGTGTCGACATGATCCAAGTGTCGACATGATCCTAGTGTCGACATGATCCAAGTGTCGACATGATCCAAGTGTCGACATGATCCAAGTGTCGACATGATCCAAGTGTCGACATGATCCTAGTGTCGACATGATCCAAGTGTCGACATGATCCAAGTGTCGACATGATCCAAGTGTCGACATGATCCAAGTGTCGACATGATCCAAGTGTCGACATGATCCAAGTGTCGACATGATCCAAGTGTCAACATGATACAACTGTTGGCATGATACATGTGTTAACGTGATACACGTATCAACATGATACGAGTGTCAACATGATCCAGGTAACAACATGATGCATGTCAACATTATACAAATGTCAACATGATGCAAGTGTCAACATGATGCAAGTGTCAACATGATGCAAGTGTCAACATGATGCAAGTGTCAACATGATGCAAGTGTCAACATGATGCAAGTGTCAACATGATGCAAGTGTCAACATGATGCAAGTGTCAACATGATGCAAGTGTCAACATGATGCAAGTGTCAACATGATGCAAGTGTCAACATGATGCAAGTGTCAACATGATACGAGTGTCAACATGATACGAGTGTCAACATGATTGAGGGATCCGGTGGCTGAGCGGGCAGAACACTGGACGCGTGATCCTGTGGTCCCGGATTCGATCCTGGGCGCCGGCGAGAAACAATGAGCAGAGTTTCTTTCACCCTTATGCCCCTGTTACCTAGTAGTAAATAGGTTCCTAGGAGTTAGCCAGCTGCCACGGGCTGCTTCCTGGGGGTGGATGTCTGGTCGAGGACCGGGCCGCGTGGACACTAAAGCCCCGAAGTCATCTCAAGATAATCTCAAGAAGATAACGTGTGAAGCAAGCCAGGAGCACTTATGGAGCCAACACCCCGTCAAGAGACAGCTGCAGGGACCCACTTCACCCAGCATGAGGATACAAGAATTATTAGAATCTGTGATGCCCTGCTAGATCCAACTTGTCCACTCAGCCCGTGTAAGTGTCCGAGCGAGCATGCCCTGTCGCTCTGAAGTCAACTAATCAACTGCCCCAGCGAGGCTGTTGATTGGCTAGCGCCCATGTGCATCTACTTAAAACGCCATGCACTCCGCTGACTTCCCGGGGTGAAACTATTTAAGGCGCGAGACTGCACGGGCACATCTAAAATTAAAATACACTATAAATAAAATATTCTTATTATTTGATATCAGCCTTACGAAGCCCATGACACCCCTCTCTGTCACAGCTTCTCTCCGGACTACACACTCGCATCCCTATTAACATGTAAGATAAGCAACAAGGAGGTACAAGTTAAGAATCATATTGTAAGCTCACTCAGGTCCCAGTATCTTAAGGAGTTTAGAAACCATTTGAAGTTTTTATAGACAAAGTACTGATCAACCTGTATTTAGCTAAAAGCAACTTAGACCAATAGTTATGAGAGCCATGAGGGCTGAGAGTTACGGTAAACAAGAGCAATATGTGTTGAGAGTTACGGTAACCAGGAGCCATGAGCCATGATATTTTACAGTACAGTGATACTACGACGCAGTGATTCTACAGAGTAGTGAGTCTATAGCGGAGTGATTCTGCTCACTAGGAGACACGTAGGCAGGAAGCTGCTAGAGCTGATCTTCGCGCTCTTAGGACAAGCATCCTTGCTCAAAATGTTCTCACAGTGTTATAATATACCAGCAAGAACAGTTCTCACAGTGTTATATTATACCAGCAAGAACAGTTCTCACAGTGTTATAATACACCAGCAAGAACAGTTCTCACAGTGTTATAATATACCAGCAAGAACAGTTCTCACAGTGTTATAATATACCAGCAAGAACAGTTCTCACAGTGTTATAATATACCAGCAAGAACAGTTCTCACAGTGTTATAATATACCAGCAAGAACAGTTCTCACAGTGTTATAATATACCAGCAAGAACAGTTCTCACAGTGTTATAATATACCAGCAAGAACAGTTCTCACAGTGTTATAATATACCAGCAAGAACAGTTCTCACAGTGTCATAATATACCAGCAAGAACAGTTCTCACAGTGTTATAATATACCAGCAAGAACAGTTCTCACAGTGTTATAATATACCAGCAGGAACAGTTCTCACAGTGTTATAATATACCAGCAGGAACAGTTCTCACAGTGTTATATTATACCAGCAAGAACAGTTCTTTGGAGCACACTGTAGACTCTCTATGAACTTCTTGCTTAAAAAGTCTTTATTAGGAAGAGAAATATATATTTAAACGGTACCCGGTGTACCACAGGTGTACAGCGGTGTACCACAGATATACAGCGGTGTACCACAGGTATACAGCGGTGTACCACAGGTGTACAGCGGTGTACCACAGATATACAGCGGTGTACCACAGGTATACAGCGGTGTACCAGAGGTGTACAGCGGTGTACCACAGGTGTACAGCCGTGTACCACCGATGTACAGCGGTGTACTACAGGTGTACAGCGGTGTACCACAGGTGTACAGCGGTATACCACAGGTGTACAGCCGTGTACCACAGGTGTTAAGCCGTGTACCACCGGTGTACTGGTCACCACCATACACCACCAGTGTACAACCCTTCACCACCATACACCACCAGTGTACAACCCCTCACCACCATACACCACCAGTGTACACCCCCTCAGCACCATACACCACCAGTGTACAACCCCTCACCACCATACACCACCAGTGTACACCCCCTCAGCACCATACACCACCAGTGTACACCCCCTCAGCACCATACACCACCAGTGTACAACCCTTCACCACCATACACCACCAGTGTACAACCCCTCACCACCAGTGTACAACCCCTCACCACCAGTGTATAACCCCTCACCACCATACACCACCGGTGTACAACCCCTCACCACCATACACCACCGGTGTACAACCCGGCACTAAGCTAGGGGTCCACCAGGCAGCACCATAACTGAGGATCACTGTCCATAGGGGAGGCGGAGACGGTATGCAGATCGCAGGCAGCGTGGCGGTGATCACAGGGGCAGCCCGGGGCCTGGGCCGAGCCTTCACCGAGGCGCTCCTGGCCAGGGGAGCTAAGGTCAGTGTCCACCACTCATGCATTCTTCTATTTGGCTTACCAACTGTGCTTGAGGCAAAGTTACATTTTTGCTGTGTCTGCTAGACTCGTTTTTTCAGGTTTCTGAATTGGGTAGGGCAGTGTGGGGTGTTTGGGTTGCAGGCAGGGTAAGGTAATGTTGGGGAGGAGCTGTGGATTGGTTGCCGGGCAGGAGAGTATTGAGTTTGGGTTTTGGATAAATGAAGAGGGGAGGGGGAGAGGGACTTGGATATTTAGACTTGGGTTGGGGGAGCTCTTAGGTAGGATATGGTGGGTTTAGTTCCAGAACCCACAAGGTTCCTGTGAGTAAAGCACAGAAAAAATTAAATGGAGGGGTATGGGGGGAGGGAGTGCTGAGATTACATGATAAGATCATATAAAATGAACCTTTGGTCCTGTGTCAAAATAATTTTTTACCTTGAACTCACATCATGAAATTCTTGGCATACAGTTTTTGTTAGTTTTTAATTTATTATGCACCCCATACCCATCCTTTTTTCAGGGATATTCCTGCGTGGGCCCTAAGCCTCTAGCTGTCCCACTAAGTGTTCCTTGTTTCTGTTTTACTTAGGTGGAATATGAGTATTTTTGACTCGTATGGTCACTTCAGTAAGATTTTGTCTCATGTGTTTAACAACTTCTGCTCTGATGAATCTATGTTGAAATCTTAATGGGTTTGTAACTGTGCACTGTGTTAGATAATGTTCCGGTGGTCTGTTGTGGTTATAACTGTGCACTGTGTTAGATAATATTCCTGTGGTCTGTTGTGGCTGTAACTGTGCACTATTAGATAATGTTCCAGTGGTCTGTCGGGTATTTCTCCACAATGCTGACATTTCCTCTCATCTTCCGGAACCTGTAAGCCTATTTCTCATGCACATGGGTATCTCTGCCTGATGCGATGAAAGTGTACTTCTGTTATTCTACTTCTCCCTTTCATCAAAATAAATGGTTCGTAGTTGGTTGAATTCTTGTACCAACCCGCAGATCCTGATGTTGCAACTACTGTGTTGTGGTTAATGTGCATCTTTTGCATTGCTCTGTTTCTAATTAGTTTCTTAATCTGTTATAGACTCTGTGGTATGTAAATGTCTACATTTCTTCTTTTAGTTGCAAGTTTTGCAGCTTCGTCTGCAATGTCATTTCCAAATCTTCCCACATGACTTGGCACCCAGTTGATAAGTACCCGTCGGCCTTGACGTTTGAGTGTTTGCATTAATGATATGACGTTTGTGATCAGATGGATGTTGTCACGTATGTGTTCTTGATGCAGGTTTCAATGGTAGTTCGGAATCTGTATATATAACATGTTGTCGGTGCTCAGCAAGAGCATGTTCCAAAGCCTTTTGAATGGCTAGCATCTCTGTTTGTAAAGTTGAACACCCATTTGCGAGTCTCCAACTATTTACAGAGTTTCTTGCCTTAACTGCAGCTCCGGTTTCTTAATTGTGCTTGCTGGTCTACTGATCCATCTCTGTGGGTGGTGATTGAAAAGGCACATAATGAGGCACATATTGGGTTCAGAATTAAATCCCAAAATACATTTAACTAAGTACAATACCGTCTTGATAAGGTAGTTACATATTTTGACGTATATATAGCAACAATATTTCTTCAGCCCGTCCTCCTAAGGTTTCACCTTCCAAACCATGTTTTTAGTAGTCATAATTTAGAACATAAAAACACTGAAAATGTGCGCATTCCCGAACTAATTATCATCGGCCCAGGTGGATCAGGAGAGTTAACACAGCCTCGTGTACACAAGGTGCATTACTAGCTGTATATATTGAGAACAGACAAATCCCGGTAAATCTTTCGTATAAATTAATTAAGCAGTGTAAAAGGTCGATTCGCATAGAAAAGGAGATCACGAAGAAGATGGATATTCACTTTGTGAGTTGATCTTTCCTTGTGACGAGGTGGTGTTGAGGCCGTGTGGGCGGCGGTGTGGTGTTGAGACCGTGTGGGCGGCGGTGTGGTGTTGAGATCGTGTGGGCTGTGGGAACCGACCTGTGAGATTTATATTTATTTAATTTATATGAATTTATATAGAATTTATATTTACGTTAATTTGTATACTTCGATAGCAATTTGTATGATGATAAGTGGACTGTATTTCTGCAATAATCTCACAAATCGATCCTCTGCACATTAGGGGGGGGTTTATATTGAATTTATATATATGCAGCCAATCAAACTACAGTATTAGACTACATACATTGAAGAGGTTCCTTATCTTATTTGTACAGCAGGCCTTAGTCCACCAGGTATAACTAGGGTGTAGACACCAAATTTTCCTCGTGTGAGGTGGCTTCCATCACCCTGGTAACTGATGCACAAAGCATGCTTCCTTGTCTTGACCTGTCAAAAAGGCGCTAGCTGTAAAGCCAGAATCCTAATATATGACAGCTATATCAGAGAAAACACTGTACAAGGAACCATAAAGACCTAGGCTGAATTACCTTGTTTGAGTCGATCATTCGTGTTCTAACCGGTGCGCCCTATCTACTGACATTAATGGCCAAAAATGATTAGATAAACGGGTTTCGGAAAGACACTTCCCTTGAGATTGATGACAGCGTGTTGATGATGGCAGATCACTACTCTGATCTTCCATAACACTTCGTCCAAGAGAATTTATAGGAGCCGAATTTGCTCCACGACTCTGTGGTCTTAACCAATAACAATGGCTGACCACTCCCTCCTCACTGACGCTACTGGCCTACATTGTCCAGATGACAGTAAGTGATAGAAGGGTCACATTTACTCTATTTTAATTCTGATAATTAAGTTAATTTATATGAGATGTTTTTATGATGGTAAAGTCCAAAGACTAATGTATTTAAGAATAATTCCCACCATAATAGGTGGTGAATTTATAATAGTATGTGGTAATGATATCCCATTTTCTATAGACGGAAATTCCACTACAAGTTACATTTTCTATGGGTTAACTTGTTTATACAACACAGCAATATTATCTGCCTGTATGATATTATTAAATGGTGTCGGATTTTCTGACATAATTCCCCAGGGGGCTGCTCACGGGTCGAAATCCTATTTAGAACAGACGAACACCGATACTCCTCCTTCAGATTATTAGATTAATTTGATGTTAGTAGTTAGTAATCACACATTTGTGCGTCTGTTCGTACAGGACGGATGTCCCGTACTAGAGTTGCAAATGTTAGAAGTCTAATGCGATTTCATTTCCCTGTTAACTCTAGAAAGGCTAAAATTCAAGCCTAATTACATATTATTTAACCCAGAAGACTGAATGTGATCAAGTATTACAGTCAAGTATGATTCAGGGACTGCAGTGAGATCAGTGACATTAGATATAACTTGAAGTTTGTTCAGGTAACTGGTCACTGATATATAAACACTGAGGCCCATGGAATACATCTTGATTAAATAATAAATGTATCAAATCAGTCATCAGATTTATTGGGGTTTAATTTAGTTAATTGATTCAGAAGATTGAATAGCTCATCATTAAAGTAAAGTATGGTTCTGAGACTGCAGTGGGTTCAGTGACATTGGTCGCAGTGACTTGTAGCTGTTTAGGCTACTGTTCACTGATTTGCCACTGAGGCCTCATGAACTCATCTTCAGCTTTAAATGATGATACTAACATCAACATCTGTTACTATAGTCAGCTGACAAATTTAGATTTCTACTAGTATTGTTTATCTGCAGCCATAGGTCTCCTCAGGCTTGATACTGGGCCTGAGAGTAATTTACCTCCTGCAGAATTTAACATGGTTATGCCCTGATATTTAGTAGGGCTACCGATGAATCGATGGCAATAGTCTGTCCCAACAAGGAGACCGAAGTCGGTGAGGTGATCAGACTTAATATTATCTGCCAATTTTATTCCTCTATTTCTCAGGAATTTGGCTGTTGCTCTCAGACCTTGAACTTGTAGGTCTACTGGTATTTTGTCCACCACAATGGCTTGTACTCTACAGACGTACCTGCCTAAACGTACTGATGGTTGTACCACCTGGTAGACTTGAGGTCCTGCATCTGTTACAAACCCTGAGATATTGAATGACATCTGGGCTACAGGCCTTAATTGTAGTTCATCTGCCAACTTTTTAGTGACATATGTTCTCTGGGACCCTTGGTCAAACAACCCACGGGTATGGACCTTGGCCCTCTTATTCTGGATGGTAATTTGGGCAGTAGGCAAAGTCGTATTACCTTTAGACTTCGCCGATTGGACACTCTTTGTTGGTTGCACCTTGCAGTACTGTACAGTGGTGGGAATGCTATCTTCCACCTTGGGTCTTGAATACGTTAATTTCGTATATTTGCACAGTGCTGCATGGTGCCTACCTCTTCTACACCTGTTACAGGTGTTGAATTGGGTATCACAATAGTCTATGTTGTGTGACTTGAGACACCTTGAACATCTCCCTAATTCCTGGAGTCGCTCAATACGAGTGTCTCTGGTTGGATAATTAGCACAACAGTATGTTGAATGTTTCCTTTTGCAGAACATACATGTCCCCCAGCCTACTGCACGTTTGGAAGTTACCGGTTTGGGTGAACTAGTAACAGTAGGCTTGGAGGATTCTGCTGCATTGCCAGATTTTCTGCAACTTGATGCGAGTGTAATTGACTGATGTTTATTTGGGGTAGTTATTTTACCCTTTAATTGACTATTATTTTCTATTACTGAAGGCTTTAACTTCCTCATTTGCACGTCGTTTGTTTATGATGGAATGTAAACCTTCAGTGATGTCCTGTACTGTCAGGTCTTATATACTGTGGGTTGGTTGGTGTAGTCGTCGTTGATCCTCCTCTACGGACAACCCAACCCACAACTCGGTAGAGTGCTTATACTAGGAGATCACCCTTGGCGCTTCTGGCTCTTGGAGAGGGGCTCAACGTCACACGTTTAGGGGATGCGGCTCCAACATTTAGCCTCGTTGTCACGTGCACACACCCACTCGAGCCGCTGTGACTCCCCCACT